GGAGCCTTCTCTGTGGCTGCTCCGACCCTCTTCTCTGTGGCTGCTCCGACCCTCTGGAACGAACTCCCCGTAGAGATTCGTACCCTCACCACCCTCCAGGCCTTCCGCAAAGCCCTTAAAACCTGGCTGTTCCGACAGGCCTGGGGCTAAAGATTCGTCGCCCCCTTTCGAATGGTATGATTGTTGCGTTTTTTAACTATGTATTGTTTTTTGTTGTTGTTAAACTGTCTGTATCCCCCTTTCCCTTCTTTAAGTTGTGAGCCGCCCTGAGTCCCCTTAGGGAAAAGGGCGGCATACAAATGAAATAAACTCTAACTCTAACATAGCCCCGAGGAATTTTACAGCTCGGCCAAGCGGCGGCTGCCCTCCCCGTGTCGGAGAAATTGAGAATGGGAATAATAACAAAAGTGGGAAGGGACCTTGGAGGTCATCTAGTCCAACCCCCTGCTCGAGCAGGAGACCCGATACTAGGGATGGCTGACATTGTTGACATCGCGTGCCAAAAGCGGGGGGGAGCGCAGGGGTGTGTGTGTCGTGCATGCTCATTCCCACACTCATAATTCTATGCGCCCTCCCCTCGCGCATGCCCACGTCACACACACCGCTTTTGACACGTGATGGCACAATGGACCCATTTTTTGCTCTCCCCAGGCTCCCGACTCTTTCTAGGAGCCTGGGAAGGGCGACAAAGGCCTTTCCTACCCAACCCCAAAGACCCCCAGAAGGCCGGAAACAGCCCGTTTGTTAATTTTTGTTGGACCAGAAGGCCCGTTTTTCGCTCTCCCCAGGCTCCAGAAGCTTCTAGAAGCTTGGGGAGCGCGAAAACAGCCTCCCCCCCCCCTGGAGGCCCTCTGGAGGCCGGAAACGGTCCATTTTCCAACGTCCGGTTTGCGCATTGGGTGGTTTTTTGCTCTCTGGAGGCTTCAGGAGGCTTCCCTGAAGACTAGATGTTCTTCAAATGTGCTCCTCAATTCCTCACATGGGAACTGTCTTCTCAAGAAGGACAATGTCTAGAGGTTCTTCAAACGTGTTCCTAAAATCCTCACATCAGAACTTATCTTCTCAAGAAGGACAACGTCTAGATGTTCTTCAACTGTGTTCCTAAAATCCTCACATCAGAACTCTTCTCAAACAAGAAAGACGAAGACTAGATGTTCTTCAGACCTGCTCCTCAATTGCTCACATGAGGACTATCTTCTCAAGAAGGACAAAGTTTAGATGTTCTTCAACCAAGTTCCTAAAATCCTCACATCAGAACTCTCTTCTCAAACAAGAAAGATGAAGACTAGATGTTCTTCAGACATACTCCTCAATTCCTCACACGAGAACTTATCTTCTCAAGAAGGACAACGTCTAGATGTTCTTCAAATGTGTTCTTAAAATCATCACATCAGAGCGCTCCTCAAAGACAAAGACTAGATGTTCTTCAAATGTGCTCCTCAATTCCTCACATGAGAACTATTTTCTCAAGGAGAGCAAAGTCTAGATGTTCTTCAACCATGTTCCTAAATTCCTCCCATCAGAACTCTTCTCAAATAAGAAGGATGAAGTCTAGATGTTTCCAAACATGCTCTTCAAACCCTCAACCAATGGCTGTGGATGATGGAAGTTGTGATGGCTGGTCCCAAAAAAATGGAATCCAGGACAGATATTCCATCTCATTTCTTGCTTAGGGAATCCTCCTTGAATATCAGACTATCAGATTTAGAAAAGACCTTGGAGGTCTTCTAGGCCAACTCTCCTGCCCAAGCAGGAGACCTTATACCATTTCTGACAGGTGGCAATCCTGCCTCTTCTTGAAAGCTTCCAGGGATGAAGCTCCCATAACTTCTGAAGGCAACTTCTGTTCCACTGGCTGATGATTTGCTTGATGGGTTGACAATCTTCATGGGTTGATTATTATTGGTGGACGCCCAACTTGAGTTGTTCAACCAGGATCTGTGGACACCTTTGTAAGGTATAGAAGTCAATTTAACCCATGTTCAGAGATGCTCTTGTTTTCGTGTCATAAGACTGTGTCCACTTTGGGTCACCGTATTATAAAAAAGATGTTGAGACTCTGGGAAAGAGTGCAGAGAAGAGCAACAAAGAAGATTAGGGGACTGGAGGCTAAAACATGAAGCAGAAATTGGGTATGTCTAGTTTAATGAAAAGAAGGACTAGGGGAGACATGATAACAATCCTCCAATATTTGAAGGGCTGCCCCAAAGAAGAGGGAGTCAAGCAATTCTCCAAAGCTCCTGAAGTTAAGACAAGAAGCGATGGATGCAAACTAATCAAGGAGAGAAGCAATCTGGAATTAAGGAGAAATTTTGATTGTGAGAACAATCAACCAATGGAACAACTTGCCTCCAGAGGTTGTGGGTGCTCCATCTCTGGAGGCTTTGAAGAAGAGACTGGATAGCCACATTGGAATGCTATAGGATCTCTTGCTTGAGCAGGGAGTTGGACTAGAAGGCCTCCAAGGTCCCTTCCAACTCTGATATTCTGATCTTCTGTCTCAAGGAGGATTCCCTAAACAAGAACCTGAGGTGAAATATCTCAGTCCTGAACTCCTTTTTTGTGGGACCAGCCACCAGCCTCTTCCATCACAACTTCCATCATCCACTGCCATTGGTTGAGGGTTTGAAGAGCATGCTAGGAGAACATCTAGATGTTGCCTTTCTTGTTTGAGAAGAGAGTTCTGATGTGAGGATTTTAGACGCACATTTGAAGCCCATCTAGACTTTATCTTTCTGGTTTGAGAAGATAGTTCTCAGGTGAGGAATTTAGGAAAACATATGGAGAACATCTAAACTTTATCCTTCTTGTTTGAGAAGATTGTTGTGATGTGAGGAATTTAGGAAAACATATGGAGAACATCTAAACTTTATCCTTCTCGTTTGAGAAGATCGTTGTGATGTGAGGAATTTAGGAACACGTTTGAAGGCCATCTAGACTTTATCTTACTGGTTTGAGAAGATAGTTCTCAGGTGAGGAATTTAGGAAAACATATGGAGAACATCTAAACTTTATCCTTCTCGTTTGAGAAGATCGTTGTGATGTGAGGAATTTAGGAACACGTTTGAAGGCCATCTAGACTTTATCTTACTGGTTTGAGAAGAGAGTTCTTATGAGAGGCATGTAGGAAAACATATGGAGAACATCAGGTGAGGAATTTAGGAAAACTTATGGAGAACATCTAAACTTTATCCTTCTCATTTGAGAAGATCGTTGTGATGTGAGGAATTTAGGAACACGTTTGAAGGCC